GTCTAACATGTAATAATCTTTATTAAATAATCAAGTTATATATAAATTCAAAATAATAAATTTAAAACTAACCTTTATGTAAACAATATGCTAGTAAAATTTTCATGCAAAATGGTCGAGCAGGAGGACGTTGATCAATTAATTCTCTTAGAGTATAAAAACCAAGAGACATTCTATATAATTCATAATAATTTCTATAAATAAATAACAATATCACTATAGAATTGATTCATTTTTTACAAACCTATCAGGATCATTCAAAAATATTTTTATACGATCTACGATATCTTCTTGTAATTCTGGAACATTTAATAAGAATTGAGTGAAAAAAAGTCTATCCTCAAGAGTTGGCATGATTCTATCGAGAAATCTACTGAGCCAAATCACATAATTTGGTTTCTAAGAGTATACATATAACGGTTACTATGATATTTTATTGTAAACTAACATGAAAATATTAAAATTATAACAGGGACTCACATGTGATGGGTCTTTTGATGACATGATGGAATCATGATACCATTCTTCGTCAAACCAAGTTAATGCGAATTCCGTCCTGATAATATCAAATTAAATAAAAACTTGTACGAAATTAAAAAATTTTAACATTAAATTTCATTATCAACTTTATTAACCTGTTCTTAAAATCTTCAAGAATATATTGAACAATCATTTCTCTTAATTCGTCACAAGTTTTTATTGTTTTTTCTGGAGAGATGTCAAGACCTCTTGTCAATAATCTTGAAGCCATCATATGTATTTGACTTTTGGACATCCTTTTGCCATTGGATAAAGTTGTAAGAACAACGTCGGATCGTTTTCCTTTCGCATCTGGTGACAACATTGACTCAATATCCAAAATATTTTTAAGAACATTTTTAATAAACGAGTGACATTGTTCTTCTGATAATGATTCAGGAGGTGGAAGTGCGTAAGGTTGAAATTTAAAGGTTGGAACAGGTGGCGGTAAAGGTTGAGGTTCTTGTTCAGATTTTACATCAGCTTTACTTTCAGCTTCAAGAACGTCCATCGTTTGATCTTGAGGTACTTCAATATTCACTGCAGCGACATCATCAATTTCCATATCATCATCATATAAAGGAGGAGAAAACTCACGTTTCGTTGTAGAGTCTTCTGACTGAATCGTATTGGAAGATTCAGTTTTAATAGGCATTATTTCATCTGTCATAATGACAGGGGGAGGGGAAGGGGATTTAGGAGTTACATCTCTAGTAAATTCTAATCGTGGATCAAGAGTTTTACGATTTCGTCGTTCTTGTTTATTGGTCGGAGGTGGTGTTGATAAAGTTCGAAGCGCCGCTAACCGTGCTTCGCGTTGTTGTAGAGCCTATAAACCAAATCATTTAAAATACGTATTTAGAAATCTTTAGCAAATAAAATAAATAAAAAAATAAGTAAAATAATAATAATAGTAAACCTGTTTTGCTTGATTAAGTCTTTCTTGTGGAATAGCT